TCACTCCGGGCACAGTTTTTCCAGAAGCCAGTTCATCTCCCACTATGTCTTTGGACTGTGGGAGGAAAATGCAGTTCTCACAGGAAGCCCATGCAAACATGGGGAGAAGATACAGACTCCATTCAGGTGTCACCCCTTACCTGGCACTGAACCCAAGGCCCCAGTGCCACAAGGCCACTGTGCCACTGCACCACTCATGTTCATTCCACAGTATAGCACAAATCCCAGACTTCCCAAACAACCATTTGTCATTAAGTGGAAAGGTGGAATCAAAGTTGGTCTGTGCCAAACAGCAACGACATAAGGTGCTGTCTAATCCCTTCGGTTCTGCCCTCAAGCCAGCCTCTAATATCTTTCTACAGTAAGCAGCCCATTATGAGACTGGAAGAAACTGTCACTCAATACTTCATGGTGACACTGAACACAGAACAGAATTCTAGCACAGCAGCACAGTTCCTGCGGTACTCCAGTGTTGGAGGCTGACAGGCAAAGAAAAATAACCCAAAGGACAAGAAAAAAGCATCAGAAAGACTTTTTGTGACATATAAAGATCAGCAGCAAATAAACTGCTAATACCTGTAGGCAGCTCCGGAATAATCTAAATGTTGACAGGCAGTAGCAGTGCCTCCCGAGGTGAATCTGAAGCTAATTTAAGGGGACGTTCAATGATTGTCTCCTTTAAACAGAATGAAAAAACAGGAGCCGGAGCTGTGCAAACGTGTTATCGACTTTACATGTACCAGACAGACGAGATGACCCCAGATGCAATAACGAACAGGAGATTGTGCTTGTGTGTGTCCTGCAGTGGACTATGATGCTGTCCATGGTGTACTAGATTAAACAGGATTCTGATTTAGAGGCATTTAGTTATAATCCCACAGATGGAAACTTTGCACTGTTGGCTCCTCGGCCAAGCACAGACACCACCTAGAGGGTTTTAGAGTTGTGAGGTTTTGAGGACTGGTTTTGAGTTGCTATGACCCTGGCTGGACTATGGGGCTTTCTGATACTAGACGCATGGTTGCATTTTGCATTACTGAGAATTTAAGCGTCTGATATTCTCTTTATCTCTTGTGTCTCTGCCAATATCACAAAGCTGATTTGAAGACGGAATCCGATATTTGCGTTTAATCATCAGTTTAGGATCTGATGATCATATCTGCGTCCACCAGTTTTCTGTTCAGATCAATGACAATGGGAACAAAATTATTAATTCCAACAAAATCCCCACAAAAAATGTTTAAGCAAGTTCTGCCTGATCCAGGGGACTGCTTTTCAATCCAGTCCAAAAAAAGGGAGTAACTCTTCAGTGTCAGGCTCCTCATTGACTCCCAGGGATGCAGGATGATGTATTTTGTGTCCTCTGTAAGGTTAAGACCAGCTACAAATAAATCTCCTGTGAAGTAGAAGCACAAAATGTCACCGACACCAAAATCCCAGGCAAAATAGGTGTACTTTAAAGAACCTGAATGTGATTTTATCAGACTCATACAAAAACAAACCAGGGTAGCATTACATTAAAGAAAGTGTATTTCTTTTTAAAGATATACAAATCCTTTCATCTCTCTGCCTCTGTAGGAGAAATATTATAAAACTGCTGAGTCTGGTGATGACACTGTAAACTGCTACTGACCACAATGTTCTGTTGCAGTTCCTCTACATTACATCCAAACATGCACTTCGACATTCCCACGTTTGTGACTTTGCTAACAACTAAGCATTTATAAAAGGCCCCCTTCTCTCTTGACTGAATATTTACCACTCTTCTGTTTTAAGCACCAAGCTATGCAAACGTCACTATTGTAGTGACTTCACTGTCAATTAAGATACCTGAAGCTTGTCTGCTGGAGACAGGCTGAAAAGGCCACCAAGCCACTGTGCCATCTTTCACAAAATTCCCATGAAACAGCACCACCTCCCTAAACAAGTAATTTTACCTCTTTAATTCGCTCACAATCACCCCCTAAAAGGAGGGAACTCAGGAACTTAGCCACACCAGGCTCCAGTAACTTCAGTGTGTGACTAGTATTTGCTGGGGAATGGAGTCACTAACCTGGTCGTCCGTTTTCCTTCTGATCCTCTAAATACTGAATCACACCTTGTGCTTCCACTCGGTCTGCCCACCAGTATTGGATGGGGTCCCACAATTCCTTATGTTCTTGAGTAGATTCTGTATCATCATAGGAAATGATGACCTGATAACCCAGACTCCACAGATTCCTTAGCCTTAAGATTTCCTGAAATGCATCAGAGGCAAAATTTCATTAAAATGAGCTCTGGCAGCTGTGTCCTCTGATACATCAATACGTCTCAGGGGTCGCCTGTGATATAACTCACTGGAGAAATCTTATCTCCACAGAAACAGCATTCACTGATTCTGGAATTAAATGGGAGCTCATAATTAATTTTGGTTGAGGACTTGTTTCTGATAGTGTAACTCAATTCTCATACTTTCTGTAAAAGCCATTTAATGAAGACATTAAAGGGTACGGCCTTTCTTAACTATGTCTTTCTCTCCTCCAATTATATTCCGGAACAACACTGATTTTAAAAACTGTTTTTAAGAAAATAGTCAAGGGAAAGCATTTCAACCTTCTATGTACCCTTCTACATACTTCAATATTCTATGATACTTAACCCCCTCTGATCCTTACCGAGCGGGGGCAGATTTTGTTTCCAAACAGGTTCTTCATAAAGAAGATTAGGTGCTCATGATGGTCATGGCTAAGTCCTTCAAAATGGGAACAATTCAAAATGATAACCTCTTTCGGATGAGACTTTAGCCAGTCGGCAAAATCTTTAAGAGCCTCCTAGAAAAAAAAAGGGATCTGGTTAAAATACTCTTGAGTTTTTACTCTTGAGTTACTCTTGAGAATAAAATTAGCAACATCGTAATTAGACAGAATCAGTTTTTTCAGATTCTCTCAGCTCAAACAAATCAGAAAAACAACCTTATGTTTGCTTAGAGCTTCAGGTCGGATACTGAGCTGTGAACTGGCTGCAAAGCAAAATGCAGAGTGAACAAGCAGTATGAAAGAAAAAAATAGAATGTTTCAGCTGGTGAGCCTTCGGAAGACCTGAAGATGGCCCAACAGCTGAAACATTTGTGTTTTTTCTGTCAGCTTTTAGCATGGGATTAATCTCTACCTGTCCTCTTATATTTTCTAATCAAGAGTTGCATTCATTTTTACTTATAAACTTCAAGTATGTCAGGAAAGAGAAGATGCTACAAGACGCACCACCTAAAACAGGAATCTCCATCCCCATCCTCTCCTGTCATGAGCTGTACAGGACATATTTGAACACACCACCTGTTTAAAAGAGCCTTTAGGATTTGTATCTTACAGGGCCACCTATACAGCCTGCTGGACTGGGGCTCTCCAGGAAAGAGCCCTCCTCATCCCTCCCCTCCTCAGGAAGGCTCTCTGTTAAACAGGTGGTATGTTCTCTTCTAAACTGAAATCCATTTTTTAATCACAGGGGAGGTGGAGCGTATCTTGGCACAATGGGTACAAGGCAGGATACAGCCTGTGTGGGACGCCAGTCCATCACAGGACACACACACCCTCACACCAGGGCCAATGAACCTACTTGTATGTCTTTAGGCTGAGGGGAAAACCCACACAAACATGGGGAAAACAAACTTCTCACACACAGCACCCAGGTCTGGGATTGGATCTCTGTTCAGAAGATGGAACTCACCTGCACAGTTATGACACTGTAAATGCCATGTGCAAAATACAGCGTGTTGGAGCAGTCACATTGCTTGTGAACTATCCGTAGATCAAAGAAGCGTACCCCTGCTTCCAGTTGCTCGGCAATGCAATGGTCCTGTGTAAACCACAACACGTATGACAATGCTCTGCCTGAAAAGCGTAATAAGTGTGCTCCATAGGTCAGTGTACATCTGCTCAGTTGAAGGGAGTCACAAGAGCCCACTGTTGTTTCAGTAGTTCTGATGAATCCCGATGAAGACGCACAAGACTATATATGCAGTCTCTCGTAGGCTGAGGGAATTCTGAAGCCTGCCCAGACCCCCCCCCCTCAGTATTGCGAGGAATGAGCCAGGGAGCTGCTGCAGGGGTGCAGATGGTGAGAGGGGCACGAGAGAAACACTCTACGGGATGTCCTGGGTGCGAGACTTATAATGCTGGCAAGCGGAAGTGTGCGAGATTAGGATCTCACCTTCTTCCCGAATTTCTATTCTGATTCTAGTCTATTCTGCTATAATTACAGTAATGGAGAAGAGAAGTAGAAACACTCTGCATAACATGAGGCTCTTCCCATTAAAAACCCTTCTCATTTCACAGACATGAAATCATGCAGATGACAGCAGGACTGTATGAAAACCAACCTTGCAAGCTGAAAAAGACTGTAAATTAAAGGAATTGGTCAAAATGATCTCAGACTGTTAATCAATTTAGCCCTCTGCAGATCATTTCATGAAGGCATTACCATTTTTCCTTTTTCTTGGTTGAAACTCTGTGATGACACCTTCCCAGACTATAATGATAAATAACAGAACTTCAGGGTTTTTGCCTCTGAATGATTGTCGGGGACAATCACATCCAGAGGAGATGTTAGTGCTTTTGGATAATATCACAAGAGTGCCGATTGTTCAGCCAGGATTACAGTGCTGTGTCACTGTCACTGTCACTGCCCTGCCACTCATTACCCCAAAGACAGGGCACTGCAGAAAGGTTTTTATTTTCTTTGAAAAAGAAATATTGTCCCTTAACATTGTTGCTTTGCTTGTCTTTATACTTCTACCTTTGCTACAAAACCAAACTGTACAGTAAGTCACTAGATGGCAAAATGGAGAATAGTACATACTGTATGTTTGGGATTATCTGTCCTCTGTTATAAAATGGTTGGTATTATTTCTAATAAGTAGTTAAGGTGGGTAGCTGCGTCAGCATGTGTAGTCTGCTAAGGTTTATTCCATGCTGAAAAGAGATGAGAGAAAACACAAGGTTTTCGCTGTGAAGCCTTCTCACACCCGAAGAAGGCTTCACAGCCGAAACGTTGTGTTTTCTCTCTTCTCTTTTCAGCATGGAATAAATCTATTACTTGTTCCTTATTTCTAACCAACTCAGCTGTTGTTGGTTCACATTAGCTGTGGCGAGAAACGTCTGGGAGTCTCAAGGTTTCGGGCGTCTTCAGCAGCAGCGAGAAGGAAATGTGGAAGCCGAGCAGAGGCCTTACCTGAGTCGTTCCCCATTTGTAGATACAAGGCCGCGTGAAACAGGGCATAAGGCAGTCCAGCACCTTCAGCAAGAACGGCTCTGATCTCTGGAGCGGGGAGTTCATATCCAAGCAATAGCTCATGGTATCATGGCTTCCTAGAAGCAGGCCCAATTTGAGTCACAGGGTGCGGAACTGCACCAGCAAACCTAACAGCCTTTTTCTCAGAGAACCGGTGTTAATTTCATGTGAAGCTGCAGAGTAGGGGAGCACAGCTCTCGTCTGGTGTTCCTTCCCCCTCAGCCCTTTAATTATCTAATTGAAGAGGCGGGAGCGTCTCCTCGTTCTTAAGAAGCTGGAGATTTACAGATTTCCACCTGCTGGACAGCGGCCAGGGGACCAGAGTCAAGCTCCCCTGCTTTAGAGTGATAAATTACTAAACAGGGATATCATCGCACACTGAATCCTCACTTTTTTCAACTTCCTTAATTAGAATAACAACTGACATGAGATAATGAAGCGGCCTTGGCTTTTGTTTGCAGGAAAACAACCTCAAAACATCCCTGAATTTCAATAAATACTTGACAGAATACAAAAGAAAATGATCAACATTTGGATCCTGGTGGTGGCAGCAGTCTTACCTCTGACTAAGGAATCTGAATACCCTGGGATTACTCACTTGAAGAGGCACAATTTCTAAACGTGTGTGAGTACTTATGACTCAGTCCTTACAGACAGCAACCACTGGCAAAACTACACAGAGGCCTGACGATAGCAAAAAGACACCCACATTTGGAAAGAATACTGTAACACATACGGCCTCCACTGCTTGCGAGAGCTGGCTTACCAGCGTGGTGACGTTACCGCCCTTCCCTGTGAATAGCAGGGACCGGAGCCGCTGGGCTGAGGGGAGATTTCCCTTTGGCTCAAGAGGCTGGGTCCCTGTTGAGTGACACCAGAGGCCCAGGTTCGAGTCCCTGACGGTGGGGGGCTGACCTGAGGGGGCACCGGCGAGGGTGCCCATGTGAACCCCGAAGTGTTACAATACCCATTAATGCTGGATCAGAACAGCACCAAAATAAGATACATTCATATCCAATACATATTAAAGAAATGAATAATGCCTCACGCCAGATATTTTTTATTTGTTCACTGTAGCAGTTTATGGTTCACATTCTGAGTATGGAATCGACAGTCCAGGTCTGCAGCATAGCAGCCCACGGACTACGGCACCACGGAAAGCGGGTTTTTAACCTTACTGCTCGAGCAGGCTGCTGGTGTGAATTGCACACTCATACAGCGCACAGCCAGCTCGCTCACTCTTGCCAGCGCTAGGAATACGTCCTGGAAAAACACACTCGTCCGTCTCCTTCGCTAATGTCCTGCGTCTGCAGGCTACCCCTTTTGGGAAAGTATAGTGTAAAGCTGAGTGAGCTCTTGAGGTGTCACATTAATGACGCTGTTCTACTCACCTGGTATTGCCAGAAAGCACAGAGGCACGTCCCAGAGTTTTTCAGGCAGCTCAGACATCCAGTTTGAGTAGTGCCTATCGCGTTTGATAGCACTCTTCGCTTCTGCGTCATCCATACTTTATACAGTAGCTGTGCACAGAGCTTTAATTTATATTGCAGATTATTAGAATAACGATTTAGTTAATCATTTTAATGGATTTAAAAAAAACACGTTAACCGGACATACAAATATACACACCAAATCGACAATCCTGAATTATGAATGAAAAATTAAAGAAAAAAAATTTTTCAGCCACAGGCGATTGAACATTAATCCATATACAGAATATCTGCAAATTCTGTAGGGTGAAATGTGATTTTTAAAACGGGTGTGGCATCGTTGTAGGCATCAAGTATGTGTTTGTGGAGACTTCTTCCAATCTCAGTGTTACTGTAAAACGGCAAATAGCTTTGCGGTTCCATGTCTGTTTCACGCATGTTTATAAACTCCCGTGCATATACTTAGCATTACATCTCTGACTAGAAAATACAAAATAATATAACCTCCTCCTTTGGTAACCTTTATAATGCATTGTTAGTATTATTATTAAAGCACTAACGCAATTTCATAGCGGCACTTACAGTCTTCACTGTCGGCGATGCTGCACTGGACCAGCTAGCGCAGACGTCCACCAGATTAAGTCTATGTACATGGTTTTAAAACGAGAACCTTCTTTTTCGACATCAATATTTATATACAGCACAGGTCGCAGCTTCAGAACGAAAGTGCTTTTCTTCTCTTATCTACCGAGTCCTCTGCTTCCTCCTCGATCGCTCTTCTTGCAAGTTTTCACGAGTACGCTCTTGTTTGGATCCAGGGACCGTCTATAAACTCCAGGAAAAAAACACACACAAATGTTGAAATGTCTTGATAAACGAATTTCCACGCGTCCGTTGTTCCAGTTTCTCTTTATTGTTGCGAAAGCGCACCACTAGACACAAAACAGACTTAGTTTCGTTGTTCTGGCAATCGCAGAATTTATTTAATAGGTACTTAAAGGACGCTTTTCTCTGGGCATCTGTAGTAAACGATGGTAAAGCTCCTTCTTTATCGTCATTTATCAGATACCTAAACTTATCTTGGTGGCATCGTTCCCTTTAGAGACCGCAACATGTTTGATCGAAGTCATTAGCTACGCTTTTTTAAGAACTTTTTTTCTTTGGTTTTAAGACGTTCTTTCACTTCTCAGATGGTTCAAAAATCCAGTTCTTTTGTCATGGAGTGACAGAACTGAGAGCAGGATGACAGTTTTGGGCGTTTTTGTACTTTAAGAAGATGTGTAATGGCCAAGGATTTTGTCTGATTTGGGTGTGCTCTTTTTGTCCTGTCTGCTGTATTCTTTTGAGCAAAGTCTCCAAGCCTCCCTGGCACATACAGTAGGGTGGGTGCCAACTGGCGGTGACTGAATCACACACTGTTTGCCGAGACGCCTCTCAACTGCCACACAGTCGGTGCTGATGCATTAGGTTTGAGAAGGGAGTTGAAATGGCCTAACTGACCTGGGCCGTGAGGACAGAGAGGAGGCACAAGGACAAAGGAGGAAGAGACAGCGCCTTGTTACAGCAGCAGTCAGGTCATAAATTAGCCCCCACTCGTTAGGCCTGCCCACCCCCTCTGTGACTGCCAGAACACTCCTATTCCCCATCTCAGTCTGGGAACTCTGGTCAGGAGGGGGATTTATACAGTAAGGCTCCTGGTCTCCCCCCTGCCCTGTACATGTTGCAGAAAGACAGGGTAGAGAGGGCAATATGGACCATAGTTTATATGACTGATGGACCTGAAGAGGAGGCTATAAACAATACTGAGTTGTGTTCTTCCTTCAGCGTGGTAGAAGGAGTCATGCCAGCATACCGTACATGAGGTGATTCGGGATAGTGGTGCTTTAGGATTTCTTGGGGGAGAACTTTTTCTGTTTTGATTACTGGTGACTATAGGGTGCATTTACTTGTGTGTTTGCTCCTTGTGGATACTTTGCACCTCTTGTACGTTCCATTTGAGAAGATGATGATAATACTGTGATGGGCAGAGGAATAAAAAGCACAGATATGCAGTTTGACTGTCTTGTGTGCTCTGTGGGAACACAGGTGGTTCTGAAGGGGTTCAAAGAAGCTGTTGCAGAGAGAAGGGTCCTAGCACCCTTAAAATTGCGAGGTGGCGCAGTCACCTACAGCTTTCATATTTGGTTATCACTCTATACCCTTGACATTATCTTCGATTTAGAGAGCCAGTCATAACAGAGAGCTGGATCCAAACAAATACTTATTTTGCTTTTCACCACAACGGAACCCTTTGTTTGCAGTAAGCAGTTAAAAAAGGCTACATTACATCAGGTCTTTCAGCTGGGGATCTGGCAAAATACAATGCCTGTTGTGAGACACGAATTGCTCTATTCGGGTAAAATAAAAAAGGAACAGGAAACAGAAGGTTTAATGTGACTTTACACATTCAGTTTTCTTAGCTCACGAGAAGTTCCTGGTGTGTGTTTCACTGGCTACTAATGTAGTTTTGTTGTGGTACGTGTTATCTAGAAATATGGCTTGTACCATCAGGAATGAATACTCCTCAGATTTGATTCTTGCATTCATTTCTGAGGTGTGAGAGCATTTCCAAACAAGTGAAATAATGGAACCAGTTTGATCTGAAAAGGGAGCTGAAAAGGAGGCATTAAAAGGAACAAAAACTCCACTCCAAGAGCCAAGAGCTATCAAAACAGAAAGTCTTTTTATTCATTTTCTGATGAAACCTTCAAATTCTCAGAAAATGTTCACTGTATTATGCTAAAAAAGCCAAAGTGAAAAGTGGTGTCTAAGACCTACAGTATTTTCACATATCTAGACAGGTGTCAGCTACAAATGATTAACAAGTCACAGGGATGCAAGAAGCCCTTTGCATGAAAACATGCACAGAAAACCCCATACTCGCCACAAAACCAAACTCGGTTCCTCGCAAAATTCTACAATGTAGCTGACTCATAACACCACTTGGTTTTACAGCTTATTTTGAAGGTCCCTAAAAAGTTTCAACATTTCTGCAGCTTTGTTAGTGCAATACAGATTACAATGAATAAAATCTCAATCTTAATTTTTTTCATATCTCATTTCACTGATGTACTTTTAAAGGTTCAGAGGTATAAGCATGATGCAAATATATATGAATGTTGGTGTAAGCTGGTGTTGAGGAAACCAGTAATCAGTCCTGAAACAAGGAGAGTTGCTTTTTCTGTGGGAGGCATAAGACACTAGAAAAAAAAGTCTCTTTGAAACTTTTTTTTAATTAATCTCTGTCTTTTCAAAACCATAACAAATTACAGCAATACAACATTTCCACATCTCTGCCCCAAATCCCACCCCCTTCCCCCACCAACAGCGAAGAGTCTTCTCAAAGAGCCCTGAAAGTCAAATCAGAAGTGTCTTGTGATGAGAATTTCACTGCCTCAACGGCAGCTCTCCAGCCTCTACCCATATCCCATCTTGCCCTCCTCCACACACACCCTGGCATCTGGGATCTGGCTCAGGTGATGCCAGGGGAAGGAAGCCAAAAGCTCCTAAAACATCATTTTTAGCTGCACTTGAGAATATTAATGAATATTACAATGTGTAACTACATTCAAGACACGGCCTCTTCTGGCTTATCATCTACATACATCATGCAGTGTTGATCAAAGGCCACAAAAGACACTGGCAATAAGGGGAAGGAACAGAAAGCAGCCAGCAGACAGGTCTCCTGTGCCATCCTAGAATGATCTATTAAAGGTGTTTTATTCAGAGTTACTATCCAAACTACTGCATGCTTGCAATGTCAAGACAAAGAGCAAGCTTCTGAAAAAAAAAAACACCGAACATTGTTAACAGGAGTTATCTTTGACCCTATGTTCCCTAAAAAGCAAAGCAAATCTCTGGTGAGGTATGGTCTGTCATCATTTGTAAAGTATTGGGATTAGTAGAGAATAAATATTATATAAATAATAAATATTTGGAAACCAGGATGCTCGTCAAAAGATGCTCTTCAAGGCTTTTGCATTCCCAAAACAGACAGAACTTGCTACATGCCACATGCTGAAGACCAGAGGTCATGCAGGATTTTCTTTAGAACATTCTGCACTATGATACTTGGTTTAAATATGTTCAGTGCACTGAATAACATTTCATTGGTGGAAATGTTAGAATTTCAAAATATTTTAAAATTGAAGCTCGTGCAGACATATACTTTTAGGAATACGTGTTCATTCATTCGAGTCCCACCTAATGACTACCAGTCCTCTGTTGTACAGTGCCCTGTTGCAAACTAACATGCTACAAGAATACGCTCTGTCCAGTCGACATGATCCTCAAAGAACATGCTTGCACTGTATTAACTAGCAGCTGTAGGAAGACTTTCATGGTCTTTCTTCCTGTGTTTTTCTGACAGAAGACCATGAGTAGCTCAGACAGAAGCCTGCTTCTCTCCGAGTCCACAGGAAAGCTTGCAAGCCCTGTGTTTTCCTGAGGAGCAACCTTTTATTTGTTGCCCATGTAAAAGCCAGTGTTGAGACTTTGGCAAGCGTAGAATTCAAAGAGCGCTGAGGTATGTGGTTAAATAATAGACTGGTGAAAGAACCGTCCTGTTTTTTCTTAAAAATAGTCTTTAATTTATGCCGAGCTCACTGTGTTCTTGCCCCTGAATAATTTATTCCTTCGAATTCAGTAATATGCTTTGGAATACACATGCAGTAAACCGATTAGTTCTTCAAATCAGTAGGAGTCTGAAAATAATATTGGTGTCCTTAAGTTCTCACATGGGTTTTGATTTTACAAAAAGGTGTTCATGGGCTCTCAGTGTGCCATCAAGACGCCCCACTTAGAAGACTTTCGTTCAAGGCGATCACCGCCGGCACCAGCTGGCCCTCTGTGGCGAAGTCTCCAGCAATGATGTTGATACAGTTTCCCTGAGGTCCAGGAGCCTGGCTCTCCACCCACTGCAGCAGCACAGGGTATGTGGACATGACCATGTCTTTCAAAGACTCAGTGGGGTGAGAACAAATATACTTCAGATCCTCTGTCAGGTTTATACCTGCCACAAAGAAGCCTCCTGTCCAACAAAAACAAATGTAATTAATAACGGCACTGTCACAGAAAGTGATATGGAAACAGTCACTGCTCATTTAAACAGTGCTCCAACAGCACCTCCATACTACAGTAACTATCACCTTCATAGTGATTGTCCCTTTCACATTTACTGGTATTATTTTGGTATTAAGAGTTCTTAAGACTGACTTGTAATTTTACAGGGTGTTTTTTTACTGATTTTACTCAGGATGGTTCGCTTGATTTGAGAAAACTACAATTCATCTAATATATATTTAATATTAATTAGTTTCTTACATTTTGCACAGCTTGGTTTTGTGAAATGGATTTAATGTATTGCCTCTATAGCTACAACAGTAAACTAACATACTGTATAATTAAGAAATCAACAAAAGTAATTATGATAAGTACATGGATAGTGCACATTGGTGGCTGCAAAACATTTTGCACAATGTGAAATTACGATGAAGTAACAGGCAGAAGAAAAACTGATTTGGAACACTGACATGACATGCTGCTATTTACAATGCAAAATAAGCATTTGTTTATGCTCATACAACATCAAACTATATTATTTCTTAATGATGTAATCTATCATCTATCAGATGGAGACAATTCTTATAGAATAACATCTGACAGTGTATCTGTAGTACTGATCAGACTACTGATGAAAAAGAACAGTTATGTTTCATACATATTTACTTGTTTGCTTTGCTTACAAAGAACCTCAGAGTTTTTCTACACTTTTAACAATTACTCATTTTAGCTCTGATGGTGATGAAGGCATACAAGGATGTTGTTCTGGGGTTTGTTACCAAATTCAGTACATACTGTACTTGCAGCCAGTGATATCCCAGAAGCAGACATATTAATCACAACTGTGAAATCACTTTAAACACTGCCCAAGCAGAAAACTACCTTTAAAAGACAACCTGATAGCCAAGACCTGAAAACTATACCACAAATAACTAAGGTATCAAGTTAAAACAATACAAAAAAAAACTAACTCTGTTGACAAATTATATATGTATTCCTGTTGAGCAAAAGCATTTCAATAATTTGTTGATACTTTCCCTGAACTACTAAATCAAGTACATTGCTAACACTGGGATGTATGGAAACTGTAAATAGGCATGCTCACTGTTCTGTTGATCAGTGTGCTAAGCCATGTAATTTACTGTAACAGAATGACTAAATGAGAAGATTAAGTAAATGCAATGGAAGGATATTTAATTAATTCTCAACGATAAGGTTAATGAGAGGCCATATCAACATCTTAGACATTTATGACATTAATGAATTGGCTTCATCACTCTGCTCTCCTCCCCCACTGATAGCTGGTGTGTGGTGAGCGTTCTGGAGCACTATGGCTGCCATCGTATCATCTAGGGGCTACTATTTGCTGCCGGTGGAGGAGAGTCCCCGTTACCTGTGAAGCACTTTGCATGGAGTGTCCAGAAAAGTGCTATATTAGTGTAAGGAATTATTATTATTATTTTAGGGCTGGTGGGCTGAAATACAAATTACTAAACTAAGCCATGCAAAACCTACAATCCTATTAATAACAAAACATGATCATGATGCAAGACATGATACCAACAGGGATTATCACTAATCAGACTTTTCCTTTAACAGAGTTCCTCTGCTATGTTACCTGGTCGTCCATGCTGTTTCTTCCTCTCAAACTCCTCAATCAGTGTCTCCGCTTTGCATTTGTTGGCCCACCAGTATGTGATGTGTGGCCAGAGCTCGTCTGTGGTGTTCATGATGTGGTGGTCGTACGAGACTATCACTTGGTACCCTAAGTGCCAGAGGTTTCTCAGCGTCACATTCTCCTGTAATGAAGATGTCAGTCAAAGCAAAGTTCTGCCATTTTTATAATCTTTGTCAACATTCTGCATGTTCACCTCTGGAATTCAGCTATTCAAATGACCACAGCCATCATCACGCTATCCAAGCATGATGCATGATTAACCAAGGACACAAGTTTCCTTATTACTCACTTCAACTGAGAGATTCTTCCTGAAGAAAGAGAAATATATATACAGGAGAGTCCACAATACTTGTTCTGTATGTCCATTCGACAGGCAGCCAGCTTTAATTCCTATCTTAGAGGAGCCATCATAAACACCCTGATTCGTAACGACTGGGCTCCTCTTGACTTAAGTCTGTGCCCCCTACAGTTAAGTGTCGGATAGTTGCTAAGAGGGTGAAAGACCACACACCAGGGGTCTGAAAGAAAAAACCCAAACTGCCAGAGAAGCAGCTACATGAACGAGCAGTAGGTCAGCTGCTTACAAGAGAAAAAGTTGCTAGAGGCCTATTTTATATCATTTTGGTTTCAATAGAACAACAACAACAACAACAACAACAACAACAAGTTCAGATGAACTGACTTTACAACCTGCTGCTGTCTTCAGCCTGTAACAATCTAGTACAAAGAAAAGCTGGTTTGTATGATGCCTTGGTTACAACATAATCACTTTGTAGATAACACACTCTGCTGCACATACTTACAGTTTTCGGACAGAGTTTTGCGACGAATATGCTCTGTATTGTGTTGACGAGGTGAGCATGGAGCTCTTGGGTCAAACCGAGGAAGTGGCTGAAGGACAAGATAATGACCTCTCTTGGGTGTGAGTCCAGCCACTCTCTGATCTCCTTTAGGACAGCCTGCATCCACACACACAAGAGCAACTGTCACAGCATGACGACACGCAAGGCACATACAGCTTACATTATGACTCATTAAACATGCCTTTCTCACAACATGATCCCGCTCAGACTCAATTCATTTCGAAGATCTTAGAACCAATATCTTGTACAAATTCTGTCCTGTCTGAAGCAGCACTAACAGGCAGGGTTTTATTCACCCTTTGATTTAAAATGTGAGGTACTTTACTGTGTGCTACCCTTGGTTGACAGCCAGAAAGAGAAATCTTTTATCTAATTAGGATCTGAAGTAACCTCTACGTTTTATAGGTTAATGGGGGTGACGTCAATTGTCTTCTGTGGATTGGATTATGAAAAATAAAAAGAGTAATAATTGCTACATATTAATGTAATATTCATATACACAAATTACAGAAGGAATATTACAGGAAAACAAAATTAATACACTTACAGGAAACTGTACAACATTTATCCACAATTTGATATTTGAAATCTTTTTTTTTCCCGCTCATGTGTTTCAGGTTTGTATCTTTCGGAGAGTTGGCAGCTTGTTTGCAATGGACGGGCTCATTCTCTAATAGTAAAGGTCAGGACTGGCAGGGCCAGTAACTGCTACCTTACTGAATAAAAGCTCAGGCCTTTTCCTTACCTCCACAGTGACTGTAGTGTATACCCCGTGGTAGAAGTACAGGTCCAGGGAGCTGTCATTGGGCCTGTGAGCAATCCTCAGATCACAGTATCTCACTCCACCATCCAGCTGCTCTTTCACACTGGATTCCTGAACAGCAGAGAGGTGTGACTTCATCAGCATACTGAAACCAGGGACGTTCGGAGCCCGAGCCCCTTGAAGTGTATTTTTTTTAACGTTTTGTTGAAGTCTTAGCATTAACTGTGACCAAGGAAAAAGTGGCTAAGAGTTACAACCGTAGTGGATCATCCAGAGACATGATTACTCGTCATTTCAATTTTAATGTTCCTGAGAATGTTCTGATAGCAATGTAGTCTGCTAAATCTTACGACGCATACACGAAGGAGTTTAATTTCTGTCAATATTTATGACTTTATGATTCATTCAAAGATACAAATGTTTTTCATCTTCTCAGGGAACTCTGTGCTTTCTGCATGCATCAGGAGTTCTGTGATCTGCCTCAATATTTAACGAGAAATGTGTGGTTTCAGTATTTCTATATTTTATAGTATAACTATTTCTGATAATCAAATTCATTTCTAACGGGATTCATCAAAACACTACAAAATAATATGTTTCTACTTTGTAACCACTGTAACAATTTTGTAACCATTATTCATTTTATCAGTAGTATCCTGTTAAGTGCTTGTGAAAGTAATTTAGTGTTTTTTGATTGATTAATTTGCCACTGGATAAGCTTAACACTGCTTTAAGGTAAGTCTTCCTGTGTGCATATCTCATTACTGATCTATTAATATCTAATGAGAACTGTTTCTAAATCAAACCTCTGTAATGTTATCTCTTTTATGTCTCCCATAGGCTAACATGCTTAGATGTTCCTGCCATTTTGACCTTCAGTATACGAATCCTAGGAAAGCAGCAATGTAAGGATACAAAAGAATAACTGGTGTGTTATGCACCCATAACAGATGTGGTCCTGTTAACGGAGACTATTTGGAATTTGCTGCTGAATAGCTTAGTAAAAACCTCATTGGTATTGAACCAAAAGAAAACCTCTATCAAGTATGAGAATAAATCAGATTCCTTGGATCTGGTGTGCTAAGCCGAAGCATAACTGAGAGATACAATTACAGTTTTGTTTTTCAAATCTCCTCACATTCAATCATCTGTAATAAAAGTACACAAACTACAACATTCACCAGTAAGAAAATAAAGTAAGAACATTTTATCAGTCCTAAATCCGTAAGTTAGGTATAGTGCAATCACCCATCTATTAACAGTAAGATAGGATGGCATGCTTAGTCCTGGGAAAGCTGGTAAAGTGGAGCCTGTCACAGAAACCTAGTGAGCTAGACACTAATTCCCATATCTAGTATGTCTGGAAGGGACAGGAAGCCAGGGGAAAACACTGCAAATACAGACAGGCCATGCAAACTCCACACAGAAGACTCCCTTTCCAGAACTGAACTCCAAACACTAGAGCTGTAAGGCAACAGTACTAGCAGCCCTTCTGCCAGGCTGTCCCTAGAGCAAGCATCTTAATTTTGAACCAATCATACCAGTAAGCAGACACAGACCATAGTCTTCAGGGCAGGGAATTTTCCGTCTGACTAGGTAAAACACCACACTTTAAACGGAGAATCAAATGTACTGTGTTATCTATTGAGAATATAATGATTACACTAATTGGAGATATTTTTTTAATGAAAGTAAATTAATTATTAGTAGTAATACTGACAAAGCGAGAGGTCTCTATAGACTTATTTTCAACGAGATGGCCAAAGTCACTAATAACTGCAAAGGAATCTACAGCATATATAACTAAAATTCAGCCTGGTTTCATTTAACATTTCTTTCACAGCCTACCTGTGTTATAGCCCACTTGTATACAAATGGACGGATTAGGGGCTTCATGATTTTGTCCAGCTTCTTTAACATGTCTGGTTGAGTGTGATCAACTGGCGACCTGTTGTTTTTATCCAGGCAGTAAGTGATGCTGTTGTGGGTTCCTTAAAAAAAAAAGGCAGCAAAGTGGTAAATTACAGGAAATGTCAAAAGAAAAGTCTAGAAAATATGACACGTCATTGTGCATGGAAAGCAATAATCATAAAGTTCTGAATATACATAAGGTCATTAGGGAGGTTTACAGTCTTGGAAAACCAGTGTTATTAAGTGTATGGTGTTAAAATCTCATAGTATTACTTCTTCAAAACACCACAGAAAATACCCTTGTTAACATGATATCATGGGCAGTGTTTGTAATGACATGTTTTGGTTTAACATCACACAAGCAAAGAGAACATAAAGACTTGTGCCTGACAAGGCACTGTTAGCACTTGAAAGGGTCAACGTGCATACCTGGAATAGCCAGATTGTAAAGAGGCACATCCCACAGGGCTTCTGGTAACTGAGACATCCAGCTGTCTGTTGGCAGGTGTCTCAGCAGCCCGATACCAGATGTCGATGAGTCAACTGTGGTCATTTTCCTTCAGGAGCAACCTTTAACACATAACGCCGTTGGAGAAATCAAAACACACAGTCCTATTCTTGTACACATTGTTTTTTACATGTTCTCAATCTTCTTTTTCTTTTCTTACTAGAAATAAGGCAACAGTTCCTGACAGATAAACCAAGATCAAGGTCAGTGCCAGGATGCTGCTGGAGTGCCTGTTGGGTTCCAAAATTTTCATATAATTCTTCACTAAACACGTTCCCTGGATTTAAAATATTATCCTCAATACACAGGACATGTAAGCGTGTATTAGATATAAAGAGCCCCAGCTTCACAATAACACTGATAATCATCGCATAGGGGAACTGAAGAATTTAATGTTCCAATATGTTGGATGAACAAAGGCCAGATCGAGAGGTTATTGGCATAACCATGGTCCCCTGAGTGAGAAATAATAATAGAATGGCCTCATCGCTACCCTGACCTCCATCTGGTCAAACCCTGCAGCCTCACATCACCATACTCGCATTCTCCATTAGACTAGGGCCACATAATAACTCATCACCATGGTTTGACCTGGAGGTAATGTGGGGGTGTGCCAGAGGGTAATGAATTATTGACTCAGATAGCTAAGGTTATACAAGAACACCTACAGCTGTTTCCTTCACTTTCAAAATGCAATCATTACCAGATAGGTAATAAATAAGGTAATAATAAGGGTACGTAAACTGCTGTGAAGCCAGAACACAAAAGGAAGTAGATGAGGTCCAGAAATGATTCAGGAGCTGAGCTGGTGAACAGTGTCCGATGAGGTCCAGCTGGCAGAGCAGAGCTCCTGCCCAGAAGGCCTGTGGGATGCAGCCTGAGGCCTGAGCCCTTGTGGAGTGGGCCGTGCTGACGTGCTTGGTTGTCATGGCGATGTGTAGGTTCTGTGATTGCACTGCATCACGAGCCAGGAGCTGGGTCCACAGAGACGCAGGAGACCTTGCAATACTGCAGGCACTCCTAGACACTAGCGGTATTCTCTGAAGCTGGGTTCTTCACGGAAATCTTAAGCGCCGAACAGCACTCCAGCAGGGCCACGGCTGTCAGCAGAAACTGAAGTAAAACTCCCAGCACAGAGCTCTAGGGAAGGCAGACGTGGCCCCAAGATGCAGATAAAAAACTCTCACAGGGTGCGCTGTGGCTCAGCACATCCTGGAGAAAGGCGAAGCCAGTACTCTGGAAACTCCTGTGTGGGATCAGCTGCTGAGGTGGACGGAAAACAACTGTGTCAAAAAACCTGAATAAATCAGCAGGAGGGTCTGCTAGCCAGACGTGCAGAAGACGAGGTGAAAAAAACAACAATGAATTGCTACTCCCTCACTCCGGACAGGCCAGGCCTGGGATCGTATGATTCAGCAGAGCCCAGCTCGACATACGTGATCAGCTCAGGGCAACGAGAAAGCCAGCCCCATCCTGTGATGACTGCATTTTGAAAGAAAAGAGAACTGCCTGAATTATATTCCAATGCATGTTATTGTGTCTGGGCTGCAAAGAGCCCATATTTACCTGCTTTTGTTTCTAATGCAAATGGGTGTCACAATGACAGGGACAGGGACACATTTACACTTGGCAGGTTTAAAAAAAAACTGAACAACTGAATTGCACTTGAATGCAAAGAAGTATTCCAAAAGCATGAAGTGAGTCAAACACCCCCAACAGATATGAGAAGATTTTAAACTAGTTTTGAGCTCTTAAACATTGCATTTTAAATTTTGTTTCACGAGAAAATCCTAGCTGTTTCTGTGCTCATAGAAAACCCCAGGTAATAATAATAATAATAATAATAATCTTGATTTGCCTTGAAAGATTAATATTTTTTAAGCTAATTATTCTGAAACCAGGAATACCAGCTTCTTATTTATGCTGGCATCACGGCCTTCACAGAACTCTGTTCAATGTCAGAATAAAAATCTTTAGAAACACAGCACCAACACCAAATGTGCACTGTGTACAAATAAATCCTATTTATTCAGAGACCATTGTACACAACTTTCAGCCATTGTGAGCAGAGAACGCCACTGTGCTCTCCACCCCTAGCTCGTACCCCTTTTAGGTAAGCACAATGCTTTGTCTAACCTCTTTCTCCATGAACCAGCAATATGATCGTTTGTTAAAGATATGGGCAGCCTCATCACTTTCCACCATGGAGTCAGGTACCCCTGCACATGGGTGACCACCAGTAGCCCACACAAAAGCACAAACACGATGGAGCGCTGAGAGGCAGACACACCACGCGCGGTCCAGAGGACGGACTTCCCATTCCGAAAAGCAACCGTAGCGGTAAGGGGCGGGGGGCCTTTTGCATATACGTCTTCCCAATTCATTCCACATCTAATACAACCAGATTCCAAATCCAACAGACTACAGAACAGCTTCTACCTCCAGGCAATAAGATTGCTAAATAACCAACCTGCAGCTCCTTTAGCAAATCACCTGTAATGGCTATATGGACACACAGTTTTCACTGTATTCAGCATAACTACACTACTTGTATATATCGCATACACCATGGACACATAGCAGCTCTACTCATATTGAGTTTTATTCCGTTTCTATTTCATCTATTATTAAGTCACCTTATTTTCATAACCTCAGTTTTGTGATTTTTGTGTTTTTTTGTCATTTTTGTGATTTCTGTGATTCTTGTGATTTTTGTGAGCTCGCAGAAAAGACATTTCATTGCCAGCAACTACTGCTGCACGCTGAATCGTTGTGCATTTGATAAATAAACTTTGATTTGATTCAGATTCCAACAGATAGCGAGTACGTCATAGCACGACGATGTGAATACTGCAGACTTTCCAGTTTTACTGGTTTAGGGTGTTACCATTGTATTTTGTCTGTCATTGTAATCTTATGTTGGGAGTGTGCTGTACAACAGATTTGAATTACCACTGTCCTGATGTCTGCATGACAGTCTGAAACTATTAAAGGTTTATTCCATGCTGAAAGGAGAGGAAAAGACACAACATTTCGGCTGTGGAGCCCTCTTCGGGTGTGCAAACTACATGATACCACAAGTTCTGAGTTCTGGGTTTTGTTTCCAGTCTGGTCTAAATACAGGAGAAATACAGGAGCGGCTATGGTGACCTATGACCTATGACCTATGATCCAAACTGGTTCTATGACTAAACATCCACACACAACTACCTAAACATGTTCTTGTTTTTACTGACATTTCTAAAGAAAACAAATTTAGCTTTGAAAATCTTAACTACAGTACGTAGTTCAGGAGTTAAGCTGCATCCCTTTGTTAATTATACAGACCAAGTCTGTGTGTGAGAGATGTGGCATGGCTCTGCACAATTTTAGTGGCAGCACCGCCAACACCACCTTGTAGGCAGATCTCAGAGAGCAAGCAAATCTGGCCCTGGTCACTGCTGTGATTGAGGAGCTCTAAGGAAAACCAGGTTGCAACTGTAGGTGTTGCTGTATCAGTAGACCAGTAAGTGGCGATCTTGCCTCTGGAAAAGAATGTTGACACCAGTGCCCAGTAGGACCATGGGTGACACAGGGTTGTGGGAGGAACCATCATTAAGTTTAGTTATTAAAAATGGAGGTTGTGTCTACGTGGTTATTAGAAAGATCCCATGGCACATTTCAAAAGAATACGGTGTTAAACCCGGTGTCCACAGAGTACTCTCTGGGTTTGTACAACCTGGCAATTAACATTAATAGCAGTAGAGTGTTATCTGTAGTGCAGTAAGCAGTACACTGGTTCATAGGTGGAGTAAACCTGAGTTAATGGCACAGCTATGCTAGCCCTCTCAACTGCGGGTTAGCTCACCATACGTTTGCCCTGCAAAAGATAAGGCAGACAAGATAAAAGGGTGGTGTCCCCTGACTCATTTTTTTCCAAGCGTCTTCATCTCGGGTGTCTTCCACGTATCGTACAGAAACACTGTATCATACACTGCCACCCTTAGAAATACCCACACAAATACAAAATCACACTATGTTGCCTCATAATACCGTGATTCCGCCAAAACTATACCGATACGCAAACATGCAGCTACCTTGACAATGGTACAATACAGTGCTGTTCCCCATTCAATACTCGTGTAGCCGCTTTAGACGTTAAGCGTCCACCAGCTTTAAAACGTACAACGTTTGAACACTGATATTAATGATCAAAACAGTTTAAATAACTGTGACACTTTCCAAGTAGCAAAACCGTACCACCTCATGTTATAGGTATAGAGCGCTGTACGAAATTATAGTTCAACATTTCCAGGTTATCTCGCAGTACAGGAAATGCGATGTTCAAATCTTGCGAGCGAGTGTAGTCGCGGATACGATACTTACAGATGTTCCTTTATGACGCCAAGATCCGCAGCAGCTGGCTCTGTTCTTGGTAGCTTTTGCCACTTCCACGGTGCTGTAGAGCTGGGTTTGTTACAACTGCCGAAACCTGCTACCCGACTCCTTATTTCGGCTACAGTTCGTGAAGCCGTAGAAAGCCATCATTATCTCAGGTACGACTGAAACAGAAACCTGCACGCCATCGGTAGTGTCAGGTTATGAGTTCGGTATCTTGCGGTGCAAGGTTAGGAAAAATACACTGGGAACGTGAAACACGAGCTTCGGAAAAAGCAAACTCTCTAGAACTTGAAACAAATCGTGGTGTCCTTCTTTTGATTACTGTGAAGTATAAAACGGAACTTTTTCCCCGGTGGTTTCACCTTCAAGGCTGTTGTCGCCCGATGCCGTGAAGCCGCACATTCGATTAAAAAGAGATGGGCGTGATGTAGTGTTTGTAGACAGGTTGCGCTGTGATCCAATCGCTGCAGACTGAGCTAGGCTGAGGCGCTGTGCAGTGGAGGCGGAGATTCGCCTTCATTCTTGTGATCGTCAGCTAATACTGTACCCAGTCCTTTTAAAGAGGCATTGTTTCACATCCCGCAAACTGCCTGTCCTAAATTATTATTATGAGAGTATTTTATAATCTCAGATAGATGCGGGACAAAATGCAGGTGAGAAATGAACAAATCAAACACATTTGCTGAAAACGTTCTGCTGAAAAAGGGTGCGGAACACGATTTTTCTGCTGAGCTCAGGAAAAGCGTGTCCTTGGTGCAACATCGACTTATCAGACTTCTTTGTGCGAACATTAGCTCTCATAAACTGCTGTATACCCATTTCACGAATGCGGTCCTTTACCGCAGTCCTGTGCAATTCCGCCATCTTCAGGCCGAAAAGTGTTCTTTATACAAGTGCCATATATTTTAAAAGCTGTCGAACATTTGAAGGAAATGTTTTTAATTCTGTGTCAAAAGCCGAAAGTAATCACTTAAAAAAACCCTTAAAACACACCAATGCAATGAAAACAGCGTTTGCTCTTAGCAATCTATCGTGTTTGCCACGCGTGATAGCAAACGACATTTTCTAGGTCATTTTCGGCCGATTAAGTTATCACGACCGAGAGAATTTAGTATAGCCCACCAACCCTAAATATCGCCACGCAGGCACTGGAAGACATGCATAGTCTACACAAAAAACACCGTGGAACCCAGGCCCCGATGGTTCGCTGGCAGCAGTCTACTGCATGCGCCATATATTCATCTTTTGTTCTGTATAAGACACGTAAAATGAACACAAGTTGAAACATAACGAGAAACATTTACTGATTTTAATGTCAAGAAGTTAGAACAGTATGTATACATTCACTCTGTATTGTTTTCGCTTGGTATTGATCTGTATATGACGCGTTATATTCCAACAAATCTGTTACCAGACATATACTGTGTAATAAACTGTTACCATAATGACTAGGTTGATATCTGCAAATATTTTGTAAACATTTTGAAACTAGACAGTATTTTTTTATTGTTGTTATTATCCTCACCCTGAACTGTAACAAAATCAAATTTATGGCCTGACACTATTTTCAATGTAAATTAAAATACACCACTCGTTTGCTAAACCTGTTTCTCAACTTTACCATTTTTTGTTTCCCTGATACAACCTTCCAAATTACCTAGTTAGTCAAATATGCCCTTGTTCAGTTCCTGCCCCTGGCCCAAGTTAAAATATTTTGTTGGTTTTTACAAACACCTTAAACATTCCAGTTTTCAAATATCACCACGTGATACCATGCATCAGAGGGAATGAACTTTCTAATGCAACATTAATATCTTACCTAACAAATTACTTAAAGCAATGCACAGTATTGTTTAATGAACCCTAGTTATGGAAATATTTTTGTGGTTATATTTAAAAGTGTTTGGTGTTTGCTGTTTTTTTTTTTCAAGGAAACAACAGAAATTGAGATTATCCAGAAAAGGAGTAGGGTGGAATTCCTTTAGCTCCCAGTCCAGTGATCTACAAAAAAAAACCAACATAAAGTATTCAAATCCCATTATGCACACAGGAATTCATTCTGCAGTTCTGTTAATATTTTTATTTAATATTCTGTTAATCTAAGAGTTTACCTCTGTGTAAAAGAATACAAGAGAGGTTAAAAAACAAACCTTCCTTACAACCCAGAAGGCTGCCCATTTTATTTTGTGGAGAGTTGAAAAGAAAACAATACATATCCTCCTACTGATATTCATAGCTTTACCAGGTGTCGATGGGGCGAACGACATGACTTTCCAGCTGTAATGCGACTCAGGCAGGTGAAACGCCTACCTTGAAGATCCCTCCGGCTTCAGGCTGCCTCTTCATCGAGTCCTCGTCCATGCCCTCAGAGGCCGTGGTCACGTACAGCTCGGAATAGTCCTGCCCCCCGAAGCAGCACGAGGTCGTCCTGTCCACAGGCAGCTTCACAGTCCGCAGCCGTTTGCCTATCCGTAGTAAAAACAATAGCCTCTCAAACTTGTGGACGCGTCGAGAGAAACAAATTAGGTTAACGATAAGGAACACACAACACGGGGCCAATTAGTTTTGATGTATACGTGATGGAGTAGTGACTACAAAGTGCAGCATTTTAGAACAGTGGTTAGCATTGATACTGTAACTCACGTTGCTGGGGCCCTGGGTTCAATTCCTGGGGTGCTATCTGTGTGGAGTTTACATGTTCTCACTGTGTTCGCGTGGGTTTCCTCCCACAGTCCAAAGACAAACAGTGTCTGTACAGGTAGGTTAACTGGCTTCTGGGAAATCAGGCCCTGGTGTGAGTGTGTGCGTGTGGCCATGTGTGTGCCATGCGATAGACACAGGGTGTACCCTGCCTTGTGCCCGTTGCTTGCCAGGAGAGGCTCCGACTCCCCCGCGACCCTGTACTGGATAAAGCAGTTCGAAAATGGATGGATGGTTACTACACGTCATACTGGCTAATCATGTACAGTTTACCTTGAGCTGCTGTGATCCGTGTTTTTGAAGATTCTCATCAATGCAAATGAAAGGTTGCGAAATGACAGGGGTTGGCGGAGCTAGTTCCGACACTGATGTCACCGCCCTGCCTGTGCGTAGCAGGGACCTCAGCCGCCTGGGCTGGGGGAGGTCTCCTTTAGCTCACTCGGCCGGTTCCCTGTTGCGTGACGCCAGAGACCGGGGTCGTGCCCAGGTGTCGCGTGACGAACCGACGGGGTGGAGTGGCAAGGGCACGAGCCCACTCGGAACCGCGACGGTCACGCAAGCTTGGTTTCTTCTCACACAAACCATGTTGCATTATTACCAGTCAAAGTTGTTACAATAGTAGAAAACACTAGCTTTGAGTAAATTATTGATAGCCATTAGATACAGTATATATTGTAACTCAAGGTTCTGTCTAAGATTTCTAAGAATGTACACAGCAGCAGCATTTAGAATACTTGCTTAAGTTAATTAGGCATGAGCGTTACATTGCTTCTCTGCCTCGGTGCATTTAAGGGAAGAGGTACAGTAATAGGATAAGAGGGGTTGGTGGAAAACGTGTATGACCTTAGATATAACTAAAGGGGTGAGTGTAGGGATGAGAGGTCATGAATGAGTTTAAAAAGAGGCAATGTTCCCCACATCTCGCTCCACAAGGCCAGAACCAGAGGATCTGATCTACACACAAACAAAGGTCATGGGAGCAGGTGAGTAAACTGCCTAAATCTGAGAACAGCTGGGTAGGTCTGAAGATGCTTCCTGATGTGGTGTATGGCCAACCTTTTTATCTCGACTTCCACTCATCAGTAAACGACAAAGAACACCTTTCACAATGGGAGACTTCAGAAAAGGATTTCGGAATGAGATGATTGGTCAGATAGATTGAGATGGCTGATATTCACGTGAAGTGAACTTACATCCGAGACGGTTATATCCGAGACGGCACACAGAGCTCATACCTGTCGTCGGGTCGATATGGAGAACTCTCCCTCCACTATAGCAGGCCACCCACAGCTTGCCCTCCGTGTCAATACACATTCCATCTGGGATGCCTTCGTCCTTCTCCAGGTGATAGACAGCCCTGCGATTAGCTGTACAGACGTTTCGTTTTAAGTCTAGACTGACACGCGGTTTATGTGCCACTAAAAAGCCACTTGAACAGCACACACTCTCATCAGCTGATAAAGTGACTGATGCTGCAGTACTGAGACATAGTTTTGATGCTGTGCACGGCGGTTCTCCTATTTCAGATGGCTGATATACAGAGTGTGGTCCCAATCTTGTCAGAATGTGTTCAAAACATCATTCCACCTTCCAGTTAGAAACTGCACACTATTTCTGTACAAAGAGGAGATTTTTTGTCCTTTGCAGCCTACGATGCTGACGCAGCTTCCCACCTGAACTACTACATATATCTAACATCTGCATGTAAAAAAAAATTAAAGAATAATAATTCCCGTTTCCACATTCACAATCCACACTTACAGATGTTCCCTGTCTTCTTGTCATAGTCAAATGCATCCACCTTGAAGGACAAGCTGTCGATGTAGTAGAAGATCTTGTGGTCCAATGACCAGTCCAAGCCATTGGAGATGTCCACCTTGTCAAAGTGCTTCACCACTGAGTGGTCGGGGTTCAGCGTGAAGAGAGAGCCCTGGTGTCTCTCCAGCTCAGCAGGACGGACCTCCAAAGCCATGGTTCCTGCCCACACACGCACACAGGAGTGGGCAAAGAGGGGAGGAACGACCCAACATTCATAAACAAAGTGAACACATTCCATCCGCCCCCACTTGTCTGGCTTCACAATCCACCCCAAACACCATCAAGGCCCGAGATCCTAGTGATTTGCTATCAGCATTCCTTGTCTTTGAGGAACGTGGCTATCTTCAAGATAAGAATTATTCAAAGGTATGGTCAAGGGCTCACAGCTGCTTTAACACAGCTACAGTTGACTACAGGACAGTTCTGCAAAGCAATGCAGCTCCATGGACTTCTTGTGATCAGAAAGATGAAATGTTTTGACTGTTATTGGGTGTGTATAAGGACAAAGTTGGGCTGAAGCACAGTATTTTACTGCATTATTTGTACTGCTAGTTTCTGTGATATGTTAAGGTCCTGTCAAATGTGCTGTTATATTCAATGTTTTTTTTTTTCAGCTCATTTAATGTGAAACCCAGGCTGGAATTTCATGGCAGTTTAACACAAAAAGCAGGCTGGATCTGGCGTCAGTCCCCCTCATCTAGCTGTTAAGCGTTACCTGCAAAATATCTGCCAGCAGGATCCACTTTGCCATCATTGAATCTGTTGTTGGACTTGCCCTCGTCCACGTGAGCAATGGTGGTTATGGTCTGCTGCTTCCAATCCACTGCAGCGAAGCGGGTTCCCACTCCAATGATATACCCTCCTGACCTGCGTGGCACCACCGACCCAACATACTGATCTGCAGGGAGGCATAATTCAGCAACCTTAAGGCAGGTAGCATTCCACACAATTATGCCACATACCAGTCTGAATTGAAAAGAGTATCACTTCCTACAAGAATTATTGCACTTAACTGGCTATCTCCATTTCCATCTACATCTCCAGCTTCTGTCCATTTTTGTGTAGTAAAATTTACTTGATTATCTATCACCACAGGTGGCACAGTGGAGCAGTGATTAGCGCTGGTGCCTTGCAATAAGATTAGCTAGGGTATAAAGTTAGCTAACTGTGGCCCTGGGTGTAATTCCAGACCTGGGGTGCTATCTGAGTGCAGTTTTTAGGATTTCCCCATGTTCACAAAGGTTTCCCTCAGGTGCTCTGGTTTACTCCCCCAGTCCAAAAACATACTGGTAGGTTACTTGGCTTCTGGGATAAATGGCCCTGGTGTGAGTGCGTTTCTGTGTGTCCTGCTGCAGGCTGGCTTCTTGTCCAGGGTGCAGCCTGCCTTGAACCCGCTGAATTGGAAGAAGCAGACAGCACACAGGTGGATGGATCTATCACCCTTCTAGGGAGGCCAGCTAACATTCTGAATAGTCGACAAGTCCAAGTATAAAGGATCACAACATAGTTTGATACCATTAGCTGTGAAGCTCTTTCTTTGACAGTGCACTTCTTAACCTACAGATTTTAAGGACTTTAACATTTGATTTAGTATATGAGAAGAAAAGGCACAGCCTGTGCAAACATTTAGCAGCAGCTCGTACCCAGTTGCAGTCTCACAGGGCTACTCCCAGCTCCAAGCTTCACAGCCCCTCCTGTGAGGCCACAAGGCCAACCTCTGGCTGCAGGAGGAGATCGTGCCACCACAACAATCCCATGTTTCTGTGTGGCCATTCACTAGCCAAAAGGGGGCCGCAACACAATTTTTACATCAGGGTTCGAAAGAACAGACATCGATGGGCGAGTTTCAAACCTCAATTAACACGGTAATGTCGAAAACCTCCAATTTTGATCACTAAATAGACTAAATTGCTCTCATCTTTGAGACAGTTTTGCCGCAGAACTTGTTACTTTTGCATGCAGATCACGTCAGAGCATTTCTGCGGTGAAACGTCTTATGCACAACATACACTTATTCGCTCGTCCATCGCATTAGTCACTACAGTGACTAGTGAGCAGGAAGGGCTGGTTTTACGTCACAATTCTTGCAAACTGTCGCTCATGCTGGAAAAACCAGCAGTTTGGGAAAACGTGGCGACCATACAGTACAGTCAGTTGGGATTTTGTGCTTAATTCGGAAATTGTAAGATTATGCAATATATTTAGTGTCAACTAATTTATTTGGTTACTGAGATTTTTATAACCGGTCTGAGAAATCAGGACTGCAGTTCCCCTTTAAAGGGTTTTCAGTGCTTTGCACCAATGCTCCCTCAAAACAGCACAAATACCAAACCCTCACCAGTTTTCAAGGTGTGGATTTGATTGGTAGCAGGGTTCCACCGGCAGACCTTCTGTCCTGAAACGTCCACATACAAAAGAGTGCCTTCCTTCTCCTCCCACACTGGGCTTTCCCCAATCTTGTTCTTCTCCTTCACCGCACACTCGATCTTGACGGACGACATGGTCTGAAACGCAAATTTCCGAAATACTCATGCAAAATTCTGTAGTAATTTGTTTGACAAAATCAGTCCCCTGTTCATTATGGGTTCATATTTTTGAATATGGTTATATAACCCTGCATTTCTCAAAGCTGGTACCAGTAGAAATATTCTATTATTATACAAATTTTATGTTACTTTCAAGGTTTTATCCAAAAATGTTATTTTTCATACAGGTAGATTCCTGGTAAATTGATGTGGTAAGTGATGCGTATTCACTCTCACGTGAAGTCTTGTGGGGGAACAGGTTGCTGAATAAACTGAATAAAATAAAAGTTGGTGCTCTGAAGTGTCTGGGTGTTTGGGTACATTTTACAACAGTACACTCTAGCCATCATTACCTAACCTAGCAACTTCTGACATTCATCCACCTAAAGGCTGTATTGTCTCGAAAACTCTCTTTCAACTTGAGAAGAGTTTGTATTTTCAGCCACTGAACACTTCTCAGTTTCCCAACATTGAACTACTGCTGCACAGTAAGAACTTACCCGGGGTTCAAGTTGACACCGCGAATATGTAACGCCTACAAGAACAAAGTCCCGTCGCGACACCACAATTTCGCAGCAGTGCTTATTTTATCACAACACTCGCAAGATAATTAACACATTACATTGATGTTCTTCTACATTTCCAAAAGACAAAACACTCAAATGTACATATCGTGGAAACAAGTTAAAAAACAACAACACGAGAAATGTCATATTAAATATGTAAACCACAACGACAATAAATAAAACACGAACTTATGACATAGCTGGACTAACAATAATGTCAAAATGGACAAATAATGTCTTACATTGCAAAGCGAAACAGCCGGGGAAGCACGGTCTTTTTCAGATAAATCGTAGCCACAAATTGTTCAAAGCAAACCTTTGCCGATTCACCTCACTCTGGTGCTGTCCTGATATAAGACATGTGTGAATTTATTTTCGCGTTAATATTCAACAAGTTGTTACCCAACCAACCCTTGAAGCCCATGGAGAAAAAAAAACTTTAAATACGAGTAGAGCGCCCCCATCGTTTCTAGATTTAATGAACTGGAAAAAAAGCTGGTCAGCATTTCAAAACTTAGTCAAAGTAGAGACCACAGCAACAAGGATCGCTTCGCCAGCAGGCAAACCACTTACTCACCGCTTTTCTCTGTTCCCAGACTCCTCAGTGGTTGACAAGACCTGACAACAGCTCCACATTGTAAGCGAGGATTTGGCCGAGAAACCTTTTGTATGATTCAGTTACTTCTAGTATATGCGAATTCGCCTTTGCTAATACTTAACATATGCAACTGTTAATACAACCGCGTATTGTACTGGAGAAATGTAGGTAAAGTACCTTGCTGAAAGTTACCTGTCTTATGATGAAAACTCACAAACTGCTCGCTTCAAGCCCAGAGCTTGAACCCCTGCAGCGGTTTGGTAGAAAATGAATTGACCGTGGGGGAAGAGCATTAGATCTCGCTACAGAGATTAGTGCAATTCATATTAATGTGAAATGTGTGGGAATGTGACAACACATCACGCGTGGAATTAGTGCAAACAACACGCAATGTAAAGTATGTGACCCTCTGTCATTCCTTTTGCTTTTATGTGGCTTTTCCTTAGCTGGTAGGGGTTCGTAGAGTCTGGGAGCTCAACATTTCCTTCTCTTAAAAGAGGGAAGGATTTTGTTTCATACACACACAAACCTAAACACGTGCTGTGTCTGTAATCTGTATCTGATCATAGTTTAGATTCAGGATTGCGAATTCCAGTTCTAAATTATATGATTATAGGTAACCGACATTCTAACAGAGCATTAATGGATCATCATAAATCCAGTATTAACCAAGTTCTGCTAATGGTTAATTGCATTCTAATAAAAAGTAATTTCTCATATGCAAATATATTATTTAAAGTGTCTATTTCATTGATGCATATTTGGGTGTTAATAAACTAGCTCCGTGCAAACCCTGTGTATTTGATCGGAATTGTGTGCCTACAATTCTGGTGGCAGAGATCACTTCTCATTCTGCTGCCAATCATGAACATTGTAACTTGGTCTTCAACAGCCAGCTGGGGTTTATCTTTATAGAAATGTATACTGCACATGACTGGTAAGAGTTATGAAACTTCTTAACTTCTAACTAATGACACTGCTGTCATTGCAGTTTGTTTTAAAGTTAACTCATCAAGGGCAAAGTCTCTTTGCAGGACTTCAAACTTTTAAGTATCCAAAATTCCACCAGGGCAATGGACGTTTGCCATTAATGCTCACAATAACAGGGCACATAAGATTTTTTAATGAGCTACACTTAAGCTGAGAGTGTCACAGCTGCTCATTCATAGGATTCTGGGTACCGATTTGTGTATGGCTTTCATGTTTAGCTCTGAGGAATGACTGCCAATAGTCTCTCAGCACTTGGCGGAAAAGGAGCCTTGTTGTTAAAGAAAGGCCAAGTCACAAATGGGGGCGTCTTTCCCAAAAGGCTTGATCCTACTTGCCGATTTTAATGAGAATGGGAACTCATTCCTATTTTTTACAAAAAAAAAGGATTTTGAAAACAAGTGGGGTGTGATTCTGGATTGCTCTCGCTGCCAAAACACCCTCACAGCTTGCCCAGTGTGAATAATCTTTTGTTGGTGCTAAAGCAGACAGAAGCATTAGCATGACAGTATGCAGTGAAAGAGCTAGTTCCTTCACCAAAACCCATGGAATTTCAGCTCCTGAATCAGGAGTGTCTACAGGAACACTTTTAGGTGGACTAGCCCCTTTCACACTGGGAGTGATGTATGATCTGTTTCTTATTATACAACAAGCTATCTAGTAAATTCTGTGACCGAAGCCACACAATTCCTTCTCCAGAGAGGCCTTCAGGAGAAGACAGATTGGAAGGGCACTGCATCATCTTTTCACTTCTTTCAGTTTCCAATGAAAACACATGAAACTTTGTGTGGCAATTTACCAACCACATCCTCAATATGCGAGTTTGGATTTCAAACAAATTAGATTTAGTCCAGCTGTGTGACGAGGGTACTTTGCCACATTGAAAGCAACTTTTGCAATCTGAGCAAGGTGCCACACAAAGCTTAGAGAGCCCACGCTAATTAAACACAGCCTCCTCTTGATCCTGCAGGGCACAATCTGGAAAGCACCACGTTAAGGTGCAGTAGCCACATTATGCCAAAACAGGAGTCCCCTGTGTCCAGAAATTATTTTTATCCCTGAAAAGTAGAGGAATGGTTCAGAAAGACCGTAAAAAAGGAGAAAACACCTGTGAGCCAAGACACCACAGTGGTTCTTTTCTGTTATCTGGGGCTTTTAAGTGGCTGTTTTTAATTTTGCCTTTAATTTTATATAAAGTTCCTGGCATTTATATCAGGGATGTCACCCTCAATTCCTGGAGGACCAAGCATCTTCTCGTCTTCAAAGGAACAAGTAATAGGTTTATTCCATGCTGAAAAAAAGAAGAAAGAGAACACAACGTTTCGGCCGTGGAGCCTTCACGGCCGAAACGTTGTGTTCTCTTTCTTCTTTTTTTCAGCATGGAATAAACCTATTACTTGTTCCTTTGCAGCCTATGCATGCTGACGCAGCTACCCACCTGAACTATCTTCTGGTCTTGTTTCACCTGAACTGCTACATGGTGCATAATCATAATTGTTTAATTCAAGTAATATTTCAAACTCCACAGTGTTTTGTAGGCAACTGTACTTTGTAAGCAAGTGAATGCTTTTAAGTTATCAGACAACTCCGGTTGAAACAAAAACTAGAAAATACTTGGTCCTTCCAGATACCGAGCTGGAGACCCCTGATCTATACTGCCCTGTTCCTGGGTGTTTGCCAAAATCATCATGTTAAGACAGTAGTGAACAAAGTGCCTATTCCATTGGACAATAGTGCTCACAGAAGCAACTGAGGAAAGGCAATTAATCCAGCTTTGTATTACTATAATTGATACAATTCAGCTTTTACATAAGCCAGTGGGGTTTATGTTTTTAGTGTAGGTAGCACTTCAGTAATTTAGTTTTTACCAGCAGTGAAAGTAATAACTATAGTTAAAAAATGCAGAATTAACACAGGTTGCACAAGTCTGGGCAGGAACCATGAAGCTATTTTTTTCTCCACTCATATTTTTCTTGACAGTTAAAAATAAGAACTAACACAAAGTAAGAGTTAGCATTTTCCAAAATTTAATGAAAAAAGTTTTCTGTAAAAAAAAAATGGTCAACTGTGAAAATTCTGACCTCCTTGTAGTCCAATCGTTTAGTGTAAAACAGTTCTGTAGGTTTTGCTTACAAAGTAAACACTTCATAATAATTAATGCATTTATACTGTTACAGTGTCTTTAACCATTGGCTGCAAGAAACAGTCCAACTCACAACCAGCTTTACCCAACATGTTAATGGGAACACGTACAACATTTGCATGAACGTAAAAAAAACATTGCTTTTCTTACACAGTGTAAATTAAAAAACCCCAGTATGCTTCATTTGAGGTGATGTTACCAGTAAGAACTGCAAATATACACCACTTTGGCAGAAAACTACCAAATCTCAATCTGTTTGTGACAATCCTTCTTTGTTAGTTTCTTCAGTTCTGAGTTCACAATTTACCAGCAGAGTAAACTGAATTTCAAGTGAATCTACAACAGTAAATAGAGAGTTCCTGAATTTTTGAAAGGGAAAAAAAAGATATCCATACAGTACAAAAGAGAACAGTACAAAATAAGACCACTGAGAGCCTTGCATTCACAGTGAAGCTGATTTTCACTCCTGTTCATTTGAGGCCATCTTTAAACTGAGAGGCCATTTGCCTACACAGGACCTTTAGTTTGTAGTGACCCTGAACAAAAATTTTATCCAAGCCTTGCACATGCTTGTCCAAAGACAGAGATTTAGAGCTAGAAATAACAAAACCAAAAAAAACATATTTCCACTGGAGGGTAGCAAAACAACAAAAACTGCAGAAAACAAGAAGTTATGACCGTCATTTCCCGTCAGACTGATAAATGGTCAAGTTGGCTTTTGCCAGTTCAAAACCAATGAATTGTGCAACTGCACACAAGTTAAAATCCGCTTTGTTCAGTAGTATCACTAACCTGGCCTGTGATTTGGTTAATCTAGTGCCGATACCTAGAAACAAACGTGTTCAAGCCTACTGGGACATGACATCTCACCTAGTTCCTGACCCCATCACCTGAAGAAAATTACACAGAACAGCACCAGACCAGCCTGCTTTACAGCTGGAAACCCCTGGCTGGTAGAGGGGCATCTGTAATTAGTCAAGTCTCTGTGGCAGGCAGCACCGTTCATCGGCAAACACACAACCTGTAAAAAGATAGAGAATCTGAGGAACCCTGAGGCAATTCATCTGACACTCCTGTGACCCAGTTAATAACGGTTTGAAGGGATGAGGACATGCCAGTTCCTTCATGCTTGAGAACCCAGAATTACAAAGGTTTGTTCAGAACATCCCTTCAACCCCTGATTAAAAACAACGCCCACAAAATCCCCCATTTAATCTCAAACCTGCATACATTAAGCGCATGTAATATAACTAAGGGACTACTTCAAATCCAAGCTAGGGACTATCTAGATCTCCCACAAAAGTTCATACTTCTTATTGTGCTTTGGTCTTCATTGCTCTACCCAGACGGAAGAATCAGCACCCCACCTTCTTGTCACCTAAAACCGGTTACTTCTGTAGAGACTTTAACAGACGAAACAAGTGTTTAACAAATGGAGACAACTGACAAATAAAGTACGACTGAGCCAGACTGCACTTAGACGAACAACACTGATGGAGATGGAGTGTGCCAGTCATAAAGTTTGTTACTGGACATAATAATAACAACAAGTGCTGGAAACTGTAGTGTGTAGGACTACACACATGGCACGTCTGAAGTAGGAAACCATACTCCATAGGTTCACTGTCCTGGCCACCTCACAAGGATAGTACACTACTTAGTATCAATCTTTTTGACCTTTTAGTCTCAAGCAGCTAAAGCTGAAGAATACAAAAGCAAACAATTTCATGCAGGGGACCACTGGAAGGTAAGAGAGCAATCGTTTACAGCGGTCAGAAAGGAGAGAGATGTCTCTTGCAGAACAGCGGTTCCAGCCCTGCTTCTCAGACCGTACAAGTCAGCAGCTTTTCAACTGAGAAAAGGGTTAAACTGGGACAGTTTGAGCAATTAAGGTTTAAGGCCCCAGTTTAACCTTTCTCCACAGGTCTGAAGCAGTAAGCGATTTTAAAGACACACAGAGAACACCCTGGGTTATCACGAGGACTGGAGTTGTCAGCTCCTGTCGTCGAAGAATGCCATGAAAACTGATTAGACAGGTTCCTCTGCCTACAAAAAATCTTGAAATAAAAAAATAAAGACGTACTCCCATCTTTTAAACATATCTACAATAATGGAGAAAAAACATCACAGCCTTTCAAAAATACTTTTTTTTTTACAGTTCAGTTTCCCATCTGTTACGTCAGCTCTCGCATGAAGAAATTAAGGTGGGCAGTACTGTATATGCAGCCATTGCACTATACTGCACATAAAACAATTCTCTCTAGGAGATACTTCACATAAGTATTCTCTTTCCAAACTTGTGGACACTGGCTGAAGAACCCAGGAAAAACTGGAATTGTTCACACAGAAATGCACCTTTTGCTTTGATAGGAGGAAAACCGCATGCCAGAGCTATAAGCATTAGACTGGGAAGGACAAAACAGGGATCTATGACAAGCTTTATGAATGCTTTCAGATACTTCTGGCATGTTTTTGTCAAGTAGTAGTTTTTTTTTTGCAAAACCCCTTTTACTTGTTTGCATTTTAAACAATCATATGAACATGTGGATCCAGGTTTTTTTTTTCCAAAAAGGGGGGGTTTTCAGGTGAGGGTGCAATCCCAATAGCCGCAAGTTACTATTTACAGCCGTTACAAAAGGTTTCTTCCCCCTGTGATATTTACAAAGGCGGAGAAGCAGACAGCTCTTCCCCTCGCGATAAAGAAGCCATCTGGGAGATGAAAAATGTTTTGGCGTTTTTTTTATTAAATACAAATGAAATACTGCCGCCCCCCTTGTGCACAAAGAAAGTGAATAAGCAAGGCAAAATAAGGGAACATTTCAGCCAGCACTCCGCCGGCTGTGAGCCCCCAGAAAGCAGAACCACTCGCTCATAACCCACCTGACAGAAGACACACCAGGACAAGTCTACCAGTGTGTCTGTTTAGAAGGGCGAGTGACTGACGTGCTTACGTGTTACACTGGGGGGGGAACGGATCCCTGTGTTCACTACCAACGCAAAAAAGGCTCAACTCCATACTTCAAAAGTCAAACGGCCCGCTGGCCCATGTCCCTGGCAGACATCTTTCCCCAGCGCGAGACGTGTAGGCAGAGGGAGCCCGGCACTTGTGACGATCTCCGGGAAGGAAGCAGCAGCGAACGTAGGCAGTGTGTGGAGATTTACGATGATGGAATGCCCTCCGCGGCCCCTCCGCCATCACCTCTGCACCGAGGCCCGGCAGCCCGAAGACAGTTTGCTGCGGCTGCTGCCTCTGCTACAGTCCCGGCCCGGGCTGCCCGCCTCCGAGCCGCCGCCCTGCAGGCGCGGGCGCTTGCGCTTGCCCTCGGCCTCGGGCTCCGAGTCGCTGAGCTCCAGGTCGGGGCAGTAGCCGTCGTTCTCCTGGTAGGGCTGTCCGCTACCGGCCTGCCTCTCGGGGGCCGGCTTGGTCCAGGGGCGCTCTTTGGTGGAGGTTTTCCTGGAGGGCTTGTCCGAGCCCCGCGCGTCCTCGGTCGTCCGTACCAGGCTGTCGGTAGCTTCCTTGAAGGACCGGCCGAAGTGCTCCATGGCGGCCTTCCGGAAGTTGCCGGGGCGACCCTCGTTGCCTGAGAAAGGGGCGGGGGGTCCGTGGTCGGGGGGCGTCTGGCAGGAGGTGTCTCGCTGAGTCACGGCCTTCTCCATAAACCCGTTCGACTTGGTGGGCCGGACCCTCTCCTGCTCCAGTTTATTGTTCCCGTTAGGCGAATGCCCGTGAAGCGCAGCGTGAAGCGCCAGCGGTTTGCCCGAGGGCCTGGCGGGGAGCGGAGAGACGCTGCCCGCGGCCCCCTCCCCCCGCGAGTGTCCGGAGCCGGCCAGCAGGCCATTGGGGTGCTCCTCCCTTCGGGGCCGGTGGTGGTGGTGGTGGTGGTGATGGTGGTGGTGGTGGTGGTGCTGCTGGGCCTTGTTTTTGTCCCCGCTTCTCAACGCCCCCTGGACGGCTCCGCCGCCACTCTTATCATAAAGATTCCCGCTGTTATCCGGGCACAGGGGCCCATTCCCTGCCTTGGAGCTACTTTTGCCATTTCCCAAAGCCATTTTGGGCATCTTGAGCTTCAGCGTTATCCTTGGCGGGGGCCTGAACAGCACGCTCTCCAGCGGACACGACAGAGGAAGGCCTTCCAGAGAGACAAAAAGAAAATCCAGAACATTCCGTTACCGGCAACATCTTTATTTCAAAGGGATAACTAGAAAACACAACAATTTTTAAGGGGAAACGGAAAATAAAAGCAATGTAACTGTAGCAACTGTAACAAGATAAACAATAAAACAAGTGGCTACCTGAAGACCACACATTGTGAAGAACAGAAATTGCAACGTCTACACCTGGGTCTTTACAATTTTTAAAATCAGTTTTAAGATAATAACAAGATAAGAATGATTCTTATAGACTCGGCCAAAAAGCCTACTCTTAGCACTGGCTGTTACCATGGCAGTGGTTTTGCTGCCCAAATGATGTAATGCAACCTGACCAGATTACAGAGGCCTACCTTCAAGGAAGGAGAATGCTGAGGGGCTGACACCTGGACAGTTTGTCACGATCATGCTTAGGCTCCCTCTAGCCTACTCCAATGAATTTGCCTAAACCAGTCTCAGGATAGAAACGTATTTCTAGCATAGTCGCTATTTTAGGCTTCATATTTTAAGTGTTTTGGTAGATGCACATTGTGCAGAGAAAACAAAACTCAATCTTCTAAAATCAGAACCCTCAGACGAAGAGCTTGATTCCTTGAAGAGGTGTCTATATGATGTGACAACCATTCAATCAAAGATTTACTATGGTCTCAAGTACAATAACAGTCCTGAGATAGAACTGCGCACAGACACCTTATTTCTCAACCTTCAGACTGTGACAGACTCAGTTACCTGCGGACAGCTCCTGGTTGATGAGCTGCACTTGAAGATTGAAGATCTGCTCTTGTGCTTTGCTCTGGGACAGTTTCAGTTTCTCTCGTCTGCTCACCATGTAGCACAGATTCCTCACCTGCGTTCACACACAATCGAATGAAAACAACAGCACTTCCACTTCTATGGCGATCTCAACTCCCGAGTTCGAAAAGTTAAACGTTCTGCCATTGCTGCCCCACACTAAGCAGAAACATCTTCCTGCTGCCAGAGGTCTCCAGCCCTGGTCCTGGCTAACCCCAATCCAGTGAGTTTTCTCAATCTCCCTGCCTCGCCCGTTCTTTCAAAGGTTAAGAATGCTTACAACTTACAAATCAATCAAGCAAAAAATCTCTTCAACTCTGAGAACTCTGAGCACCGGGTCTCTGCGTTTTTATACCATACGATGTCTAAGCTGCTTGATTAACGAGGTCACCCATTTAACCGATCAGGATGAAATCGTCTGGGGTCTTCGGTAATTAATGATTAAAGCGAAGTGCATGAAATGGTGCTGGACAGGGGCTCTCGAGGATCAGGGCTGCTAGTACTTTCCTACAGAGAACAGAAGAGCACTACTCCGATGATGGATGAGAACCGAGCTCGGCGACGGGGCCGATCTCCGGCAGCTTTCGGCCTACCCTCTCCAGGTCCTGGCGCAGGTGCATGAACATCCTCATGCGGGAGTGGATGCTGTCCTCCTTGGGCTGCAGCAGCATGTTCTCCTCCTCCTCCTTGGGCGGCAGCAGGGCCTTGTTGAAGTTGGTCTTGCGCTTCAGCTTCCAGTACTGGAAGACGAAGTCCAGGACGCGGGCGGGCAGGCAGAGGTCCTGGGCCAGCTCCTCGGGCTGCACCAGGGTGTAGAACTCCTCCTCCAGTTCCTGCAGCTTCTGGGCCCGCAGCCCCACCTTCTCCGTCTCCGTTGGGCTCTTGTGGCGGGCCGGGCTGTGGCCGGGCTCTCCGGCACTGGGCTTGCTGTGCTTCAGGCAGTAGGACTTGAACTTCACCTCGTCGCCCTCGTCCAGGATGGTCTTCATCTCCAGGCTGTGTTCGAAGGCGCAGGTGACGTGGAAGGCGACGATGCAGCTCTTCACGGAGCACTGCGAGGGGACAAGAGCCGGGGCTCAGCACAGACGGCACCACCTCCATCCCCACCACGCCTCACCGTCAACCTCTGAGGCACATTCACACGGCACTCTTGTAAAGCAAGCGACAAGCGCTCAAAACTCATTCCATAGTCACAATCATAATAAAACTAATCTGTTCCTACTTTCATGTATAACAACCCCAACATAATCTCAAAAGGTTTGTAATGAAAAACTTGTAATCTTATGCCTGTTCTTTCTGTGTAACTCAGTGGTTCCTCGATTCACTGATGGCCTCGCATTTGTAAAAAGGTGTTTATGTTTCGATGCTTCTTTTGTTAACAAAATAATGTCCTTGTAATTCTGACATGATGCCTAGACTGCAGGCAGCTACAAACCACGTTTTTGAGAACAGAAAGGAGAGACAGGAAAGCTATCCAGCTGCCGGAGAAGGGGCCTTGTGTGGGAATGAGAATTGTGCCTTCCGTTATCTGGCTACGAAGGGAGCTCTGCCAGGGGAAATGGGCAGAGAAAGGAAAAGGAGAGAAAAGCCTTTTCTTCCTCTCATGCTGCTGCATGGTGCCTTAACTCCAGCTCAAATAAAGGCCTGATGATCGCCTCACCTCTGTAGCCTGGACTCCGATTCTTTTCCCGGGTCTGCTGAAGAGGGGTTACCCTCACCCTTCTGCCTTCAACCATGATCACAAAAACCTTTTCCAAACCATCTCTAGTTACAATTAAAAGGTAATATAATCTGGCACCAAATACTACATGTGTGTGACCTACCTACCTGTGTACATATCAATTATCCAGCTGTATAAATGCATGTTTCTTAGGAAAAGTTACTGGAATTGATATTTAACGCCCATTTCTATTTCTTCCTTGTATATACAAATGCCAGACTCAAAGATACCAAAGCTGTTGTGACCCGTCGATGATGCATCTCTCCGTTAAACACATTGTAAATGTCCTGCTATTGCACTTAAATTTGAGAACCCAAAGCCTCACGTGAGCTCTCACAGGAGACTAACTGTTAAAGTATTCTTGAGCCCTGCTTCATCTAGTGACTGGGACTTTCCCAGGCTTTACAGAGTCCCCCCC